AAAAGGCAATAGTTTAGCATGTGGTCATTGCACATGTATGGAAATGAAGCCTTGAGTTGTTTGAGACCAAACTGTTTCCATGGAAATGTAAGTTAAAATTTGGAATCAAATTAAAATAGCAAAAGGCACCAGTTCAGCTGATGAGTAATGCATTTGCCAAGTTTCGTTGAAAAAAACTGAATGGTTAGAATATATTTACTTCTTGTCCCTTTGGTACAATTCAAATCATGGTCATTCAAAGTGAGCAGGTGTAGAATTGTATTAATGCCATTTTCATTCAGCAACACCACAGTCATATTTCAACAATATCACCATAATATTTCAACAATATCCCATCAATATTTCAGTCATATTTAAACAATATCGCCAAAATATTTAAGCAATACTTCAGCAATATTTCAACAATATACCATAATATTTTAGCAATATCCCAGGAATATTTCAGTCATATTTCAACAATATCACCAAAATATTTTAGCAATACTTCAGCAATATTTCAGCACTATCCCAGTAAGCAGGACCAGACACACATATAGAGCAATGTGTAATCCTATCTTGCTAATCAACCATTGTGACCATCTGATCCACAATATGTATATATACACATGTAACAAACTCATAGAGACCCTTTAATCCTTGTTTGCAATGTATAAAATTAAGCCTGAAAGAACGGTGCAAATGTCAAGGTCCCCATGACCACTCTTAATTTGAAACACTGTGTGAGTGAGTGAGTGAGTGAGTTGGGTTTAACGCTGCCTTGAACTATTCTAGTCATATCACGGCGTGTCAGCTTCATGTGGGAGGAAAGTGATGCAGGTCTCAGACGTTAACCACTTTGGTGAAACCCACGAGCACGGGTATGGTGCTGACAAACCTAGAAACATAATCGGGGCGAACTGGGTTTCTGGCCTGTACAAGGGACGCAACTCTACACAGTGAATTGCGGTGCCTTATACTTCTTGGCCACTCATGGCCTCCTGTCTGTGTGCAGAGTGTTGGTGATATTTGTATTTCCTCTAATAAATGCCAATGAACTATCTTTAGTGAATACACTGAAGGGTTGCACAATTTATTTACAAGCATGGCTAAACACTGAATGACCATCTATTTTTAATTTAACCATAGCTTTCTGATGTTTTTTAACAATTAGCAGGAGTTAGGGATTGTGCATTACACTCAACATTTACAAGAGGAAATACGGTATACAGATGGAGGACCCTATGCCACAAAGAGGCTAGCTACATGCATAGTGAGGTTCTAGTTGTATACTGTTGTAACAATCACAGATATACTATTGCATAGGCTGACCAGCTAGTGGCCACTACAGAGGACTGACCAGCTGGTGGCCACTACAGAGGACTGACCAGCTGGTGGCCACTACAGAGGACTGACCAGCTAGTGGCCACTACGGAGGACTGACCAGCTGGTGGCCACTACAGAGGACAGACCAGCTGGTGGCCACTACGGAGGACTGACCAGCTAGTGGCCACTACGGAGGACTGACCAGGTAGTCGCCACTACGAAGGGCTGACCAGCTGGTGGCCACTACAGAGGACTGACCAGCCAGTGGCCACTACAGAGGACAGACCAGCTAGTGGCCACTACGGAGGACAGACCAGCTAGTGGCCACTACGGAAGACTGACCAGGTAGTGGCCACTACGGAGGACTGACCAGCCAGTGGCCACTACAGAGGACAGACCAGCTAGTGGCCACTACGGAAGACTGACCAGGTAGTCGCCACTACGGAGGACTGACCAGCCAGTGGCCACTACGGAGGACTGACCAGGTAGTCGCCACTACGGAGGACTGACCAGCCAGTGGCCACTACAGAGGATAGACCAGCTAGTGGCCACTACGGAAGACTGACCAGGTAGTGGCCACTACAGAGGACTGACCAGGTAGTCGCCACTACGGAGGACTGACCAGCTAGTGACCACTACTGAGGACTGACCAGCCAGTGGCCACTACAGAGGACTGACCAGCCAGTGGCCACTACAGAGGACTGACCAGCTGGTAGATTCTACAACATCACCCACGGTCAGCTAATCAGTCGGCCAATAGGTGGGTATACGTGAACATCCTGTTCTGTGCGAAATATAATACAATACAATGTCATTAGTCATGTTAGATACACTCGTGTAAGAGGCCATTAAAGAACACATACACAATTGGTTAAACATAATGAATGCTGAAAGTAAAGCTGACAGGCTCTGTGTTTTAAACATGAAATTTAAAAATGAAATTCTAAACAATCTGCTTTAAAGATTCAACAAGCTGACATTCCTGACATTGTCTGTCACATCACTGTAAGGAGTATCGTTTAGCTAAATTTAATATAAAGACCAACAATATGTATGCCATGATATAAGCTCAATAAAGTGAACCTGGGGTTCAAGTAGGCTTAACATTAAATTAAATTAAATTAAATTATATTAAATTAAATTAAATTAAATTAAATTAAATTAAATTAAATTAAATCAAATCAAATCAAATCAAATCAAATCAAATCAAATCAAATCAAATTAAAATAATCAAATCAAATTAAATTATAAAGGGAATTATCAAGGGAAGATCAAGGCTCAGTTCATAACATATTTTTGTAACAATGACATAGATTAATGGCAGACATGTTAGGCACATCCTTGACAAGGGTAGGCCCTCTCACTTATCTTAATCTATGCAGGACTTATCTGTCTGAATGATGAGGTGAAATTGGGTTTAACGTTGCATCCAAGATTGTTGCACTGATATAGCGATGTGCATGCATGTGTGTGTGTGTGTTTGTGTGGCTACTTGTACTAGTCCTGACTAATGCTGATTTATAGTGCTAGCTCACTGAGATACCATGCCACAGCTTAACATGAATACCCCCACTCAGACACAGTATGCTGACTCCGAGCCGACCAGTCCTTGTTTTAGCCCCTTAGTGCTGTGTTCGCAAAGATGACTAGATGGAGTGTAAGTGTAGGTGTTATTGGGTGTAAGTAGAGATAATAGGTTGTGTAAGCTGGGATCTTCTTGAGTGTGAGTGAAGATTTCAGTGGATATATGTGTACATGACCGTGGAGTTAAGTGTAGATCTTAGTGCAGTGCAGATCTTAGTGAGATATCATCTTAGTTAAGTGTAGGTGTAGATCTTAGTGAAGTGTAGAACTGAAGTGTAGATGTAGATCTTAGTGACGAGTAGATCTTAGTGAAGTGTAGTGTACATTTTAGTTCAGTTTAAGTGTAGATCTTAGTTAAGAGTCATCTTAGTGAAGTGTAGGTGTAGATCTTATTGAAGTGTAGGTGTAGATCTTATTGAAGTGTAAGTGTACATCTTAGTGAAGTGTCATCTTAGTTAAGTGTAGGTGTAGATCTTAGGGAAGTGTAGGTGTAGATCTTACTGAAGTGTAAGTGTACATCTTAGTGAAGTGTCATCTTAGTTAAGTGTAGGTGTACATCTTAGTGAAGTGTCATCTTAGTTAAGTGTAGGTGTACATCTTAGGGAAGTGTAGGTGTAGATCTTACTGAAGTGTAAGTGTACATCTTAGTGAAGTGTCATCTTAGTTAAGTGTAGGTGTAGATCTTAGGGAAGTGTAGGTGTAGATCTTAGTGAAGTGGAAGTGTACATCTTAGTGAAGTGTCATCTTAGTTAAGTGTAGGTGTAGATCTTAGTGAAGTGTTGGTGTACATCTTAAAGAAAGTGGAAGTGTACATCTTAGTGAAGTGTAGATCTATGTGTGTGTAGATACAGAAAGTAGAGACAAAGTGAAAATGTGACTATTTACAAATTAATCATTTGATTGACAAAATATATAGAGGATTCACTTGTATGAGGCGGGCATTTTGAATATGCAAAACTCACATTGGTGTATTTTGATTGGCTATTGATTTCCTGCTAATGAGGAGGACAGATTCTGTGCTAAGTATGTAGTACATGAGATGGAGATTCGAACTGCACTTCCAAATGGAAGCTGTGGGTTTTATCACAATAGAAAGATGATATGCTGCACTGGATAACCGAGGATCCATCCTAAACAGGCTTTTCTATAAAAGACCCTGCATGTTACTGATATTAATTCAACTGCCCTTTCTATAGCCCGTACATCCTGGCACGTTGGCGAACATAATCAACAAGAAATCATTAAGTCAAGGCAATGTCACGACTATCAGATAATTTACTTTCATTTGATACTCTCTGCATCTTCCTGAGGCAAGGGAATTAACTGACTGTATAAAATCCAGCTTCCACCCTTGCCGATCAACGCAGGAAGTTATGGTCTTGGTTGAAGCGCCACCAAAAGCCTTGAATTTGAGTGTTCTATATCTGTATGAACCTTGACTGAATCAAAGGAAACAATCTGATTCTAAAGCGATACATAGTATAGGCATAGTAAAACATGTAGCTATTTGGATGATACCATATTTTCTTGTGTATAATTACATTATTGAGTATTTTTAACTGAATCACTGGTAGATATGGGAGAAAATGTGTGCACACCTAATTGCTATTTCCGTCTTAGTTTACAATACAAAAACACATGGTAATCTTAATCTCTGCATATAGAACATTGCCTAGCAGTACAGGAAACACAATTGAAAAGGTAAATGATCATGTTTAGTGATGTTTTATCAGAAATTTCACATTTTCAATGACCAAATTCGTTATCTCCTGTTTTTGAAGCATTACAGTGTAGTTTTTATACTGTGCATAATACATAAAAAAAGCAATTTTCCAAAAACTTTTACAATTCAAGGTGTGCATAATGCCAGGTGCGCACAACACAAGAAAATAATGTTATCTCTTATATTGCTACCTGTGGAGGAACACATGACAAACAAGTTCATGGAATGATTGGGTGGGTGAGTGAGTGAGTTGGGTTTAACAAATCTTTTAACAGTATTACAGTTATATCGCGGCATGTCAGCTTAATGTGGGAGGAAAGCCCGAAGTGATGCCGGTCTCAGGCGTTTACCACTTCAGTGAGCCCATGAGCACGGGTATGGTGTTGACAAACCTAGAAACATAATCGGGGCGAACCGAGATTCGAACCCACAATCATAGGTTTCCTGCGTGCCCAAGGGACGCAACTCTGCACAAGGAATCGCGGCGCCTTAGACGACTGGGCCACCTGTGCCCCCTGGAATGATTACAAAAAAGAAACTAACACAAAACTACAATAGCCAAGTTGGCTAGTCGTCTGAAACATTTTCTAGTCCTGAAAAGCTAACCCTGCATTTATATTTTGGTTTTGTTGAAAATATATTTGATCTAATCTGTGAAAAGTGTGCAATGAAAACAGCTATGTGAAAAGAATTTGCACCAAATTTGTCGTCAACTAGAACATAAAATCAAGATCAACAAACTAGTAATGCAAGCGACCTTCACATTTCACTAGCCCTTTAGAAATGTTACTTGACACAGTCTAGTAGGCTAGTGTTTTTTGGTTAATGCTGCAACATAAATAAAGCAAGATACACAAAGGTACAATATACATAATCTCAACTTTGCGTGTAGTAATGGTGCATTATTCAACACTAACGGAGGTATACCATAGTAAGTACAACAATCAGTGAAATGAATGATGACCGTATTCGACATAATAAGCGCCCTGCACTAATATTATTGCTAATATATTGGCGTGTGAACAATCCCAGTTAGCACCCCTTCCGATTGATCAATGTACACAAGACTTACTTATTCGTCTATAATACGCAGTCTTGTGTTATATGCACCCTTAATTATGTGCAATTACATTCTGGAAAGATATATCTGTTGTATATAAACATTTCAGGCTGTCAGCATAAACCACGAAATTTTAGATCTTTCAACTCTGTTTTATTTCACCAAAATAATATTCTAACAAGAGCCCCCTATTTCAAATTTTGAGAGCACCCTAGGCGCTTATTATGTCGAATACAGTAATAATATACAATTCATCCACAACCAAGCAACATGTTCATCAGCACATGATGTTGAATAAATAGTCACCCATGGACCACTAGTACTTTCACAAAATGGCTGCAGTGATCTGCATGTTTTGTAACTTGGAGGTAAAATTAGTGATTGTAATGAGTGATTGTAACTTTTGTAATTCAGGGTAGCACAGGAAGTGTGAAACAGGAAGTACACGAAGTTATCTCCCTTTCTTCTGTGACGTCTGCTATTCACATTACACATCATGACAAGGGATGGACACATAATTGTAAAGTCATTAAGTGTGGTCTACAAATGTCTGAAATTATTTTCAAAGAATATTTGAACAAACAATGGTAAGATCTTTTGTAAAGAACATTCACGCCAAACTGCAGCTTGACAAGTATTCAGTCAAGACAGTTAGATGATGGGCACACTGCCTTATGTCCATTGTTCAATCCCTCCATTCTGCTGTCACACATGATCTTACACTGCGCCCATCTTGTGGAATTCTTGATAGTCTCAGACTGACCAATATTCTTTACATCTCAAATGACTATTTGTCAACTTCAACAAAATAAAACAAAACAAAATAAATACAAATTGTGTGGTTGACAGTTTGTGTGAATCCTTAAGCTATTTCAACATTTCCATGTCCGTGAGCACAAAAACTCAAAAACAATACGTGTAAGACCATAATACATTAATTATTTCTAATTAAATAATCAATTTGCCAATATAAAATCAACACGGGGACCAAGGAAAGGTTCTACTTACTTCTATTACGAACGCAGTTTTAGTTATCAAGTTTAAACAAATCATGAAACAATTTCGTTAAATCAGATCTGAGTGCTCGCTACTGCTTCTTGTAGAGGTAATGAGCACTAAGATCTGATTTTTATGAAATTGTCATAGAAAAGATGGCTGATTCAAGAGTATCTACTTATCGATGCAACAAGGATGTGTTATGATCAATATTCATATAATGTATTTGAAACAAATAACGTAACGAAACACCATCCCAAGAAATCATTTAAGCAGATTGATGTAGCTCAAGTGATACTTGTCTTCAGTTGATCAAGGAATCGCTGACCACACGATATAATTCAAAAGAAAAACCTCAAAAGTACTATTGTCATATTGCTGTAAACACACTGATGTGTTTAATGACTGACGAGACTGACTCACAGAACACTGCCATGTTACTGAGATGTTATTAAGATTTCAATAAAAAAAGTGAGGATTCTAGAACCTCAAATAAAATAGTACAGTGACGAGAGTCACAAGCTGACCAGGTCAAGTAACTTCTACAGATTTGATTTAATGAAATCATATATAGGTATTGTAATGCCAGAACACAATACTATCAAGTTTACATAAATCAAAACTCATTTTCTGCAAAAGTGAATTTTTTTAAATACTGTGTTTCAAAATATACACTTTTGGAAATGTTTTGGTTTGTGTTTTTGTTAAACCTTTGATTCAAGAATTTGTTGGAGGAACTCATGGCCATTGTTTAGTCCATATGTACCGGTATATTATATTGCAGAGGTATTTGTTGACTCAATAATTGCCTGAAGGTGAGTATGCTCATATGGGACTTGTCATCAATGCTTTGTTGCTTTGCTATAGGACAATGTTCAGCAACCACCTACACACAAATGTAGGCCAAACGTTTTGCAAACCAACAAATACATAATAAGGCCCAATAAATAAATGTGGTGTGACAGTTGACGTCACCCGCATCAGGTGGAGAGACTCGTCCATCCATCACCTGATCGAGATCTATGCACTTTTGTAAACAGTATATTACCAGGGTACTCTGACGTTCACTTCTGTTTTTAGACTCTACAAGGATAAATACAGATGTACACCACCGTGTCCAGCTCTTGTCTGAAAATGCGTCTGAAACAGTTCTTTGAGGCATTTGTAACACCATAAAAGTTATATTGCACATGCACTACAGATTATTAAATTAATAATAATGATAATAATAATAATAATAATAATAATGATGATGATGAAAATAACAACAACAATAATAATAATAATAATAAAGGTGCATGCTTGATAAAGTGCAGCATTATTGTTGTTATCCCTGTCATTAGATCAGTGTGCACTCGATTGCCATTCTCAGCTCCCTGGGGAGTATTCAACCCAAGCTGCTTATTAAAAAGGATAATAATACAAACTATTGTTTGGATGTTGATGCACATAGTTTCAGTTTCTGTTGCATGCTGGGAATGCCAACCCTGACCTTCATTACCAGATTAAAGATTGCTGAACATTGAGTGAAAAAGTAAATTTGTACTTGCATAACAAAACAATAAGTTTGAGACATTTGAAAATTTGACACCCAATTTGCCGTTTATAGGTCAAATAATCTTAAAATTTGAGGAATTTGCTGGGTGGGGCAAATGGTTTGACACAACAAATTCCACACATCAAAGTTCAACAACAGTGCTCCTGTGTTTCCCCCATCAACAGCTGGCCAGCCATCAAAGGGAATACACAGCATCAGTTGACATCTGATAAGCCCTACGTGACACCTTATACTACTTGTACATTGCATGTACATTGCGCCTGACACAGTGGCAATCATCCCCACACATGACATGCACATACTCTTTGGTAATTAATTGCTATTCTTAATGTTTAAACTGCTTTCTGGCACATGTTCTGTCAAAGATAAACCCTCAACACCAAAAGAGTCTAAGAGTAAAAGTAATAAATAGGTACTCTTATTAATGCCAAATCAAACACTGCCAAGTCAAATGTTAAGTGACAAAGGTTACCTGTTTTACATCCAAGTTTTGAAAAAATGTGAGGTGGGAGGCATTTTACCAACAATCTAAAATTACTTGTGTTACTATAGTTCTCGGTCTGATGAAGTCTGTTAAACAACTACAATTAGGCTAAAAAAATAAAAAGTCTTGGTTCTCAGGCACCATCTGCATCATCATAAAGTCTGCTGCACGCTTCAGTTTTATTTCCATTTTTAAAGAAAAAAATTAAATCCTAATACTTAATAACAATGCGATACAAAATAACACAGAGTTACTTCCCTTTACTGCACATCTCGTGTTATGGTCATGGCGGCAATAGGAGTTTGTATGCTTGTTTATGTAGGTTGGCCCTTTCCCAGGTTGATGGCACACGACTGTTTATTTGGTTACTAGTTTGCACAAGCCAAAAAAACCTAAACATTGCCTGCCTGCACAATTTTTTCAAAAGTCATTGCCTGAGAATCAATTCTTTTATTTTTTTTAATCCTTCTACACGTAACTCTGTCTGCCAATTACCGTTAAACATACATTTCAACATAAAACACAGTGACCAACTAACATGAGCATGTGTATACAAGATCAGAGGGGTGGAATGACGGGGTCATTATTTTCTGAAAAATGTTACCATGGTTACAGTGAAATCAGCAGCAGAAGAGAAAGCTAAACCTCTTTGGGTTTTTAAACTTGAATCAGTCTCATTGAAAAGTGCATTTTCACCACAGTGAGTGAAGACTTACCAGGAATGCACATTAAATGCCTGGTCAGTTTAAGCCCATGGGCCTAAAAATGGAACAATGGAAATGTTTCCAAGCCCATGGGCTTAAATTTTATGATATTTGTTTGACCAGTTATGTTTAATAACGTATAATAGCACTTACAAGCATGGCAACGTTTTTACACCTTGAGCGGTGTCAGTGGTTTCAGGGCTTACAACACCAACTGGCCATGTTAGTGAGTTGGGTTTAACGCGGCTTTTAACAGTATTCCAGTTATTAACATTAACAATCTCAGCCAAGGAGACCTTAACGTGAACAGATGCCTTACTAACTATGGACAATTTTGCACATAAGTTTAATCGTCTCGGACAAGCAAACTCACTTTAATTTCAAACCCAACTGACAGTTTTACAAATAATTTTACCAGTCTCGGACAAGAAAACTCAACCCTATCGACAATTTTGCACATTTTGAATGTTTGTTACTTCATTTGAAATGAACACCGGTGAAAACAAATATTAACAACAACCTCATCATCAGAACAAACAATAATGGAATCGATCGATCCAAGGGACCTCTGACAGAGATCACCCTGTAATAACTGTCATGTCAATTTGAAGGCTGAGATCACCAATTCAGAGTCCCACGAGGGGAGTAAACTGGTCCTAGTCACATGGTGGTCACAGGCTTGTGGACTGCAGTATCTGTCATCATCCATGCTGTCTACTTCAGGACCGGCAGGTTGTAGAAACTGAAGCCGGGGCGGCCCTGGACAGCGAAATAGATGTAGACCACGTGATACACTGAAACACAACCATGTCCTACACTGAACCACAACCATGTCATAAACTGAAACACAAACATGTCATACACTGAAACACAACCTTGTCATACACTATAACACAACCTTGTCATACACTGAAACACAACCACATTATACACTGAAACACAACCTTGTCATACACTGAAACACAACCACATTATACACTGAAACACAACCACATTATACACTGAAACACAACCTTGTCATACACTGAAACACAACCATGTCATACACTGAAACACAACCATGTCATACACTGAAACACAACCATGTCATACACTGAAACACAACCTTGTCATACACTGAAACACAACCACATTATACACTGAAACACAACCTTGTCATACACTGAAACACAACCACATTATACACTGAAACACAACCATGTCATACACTGAAACACAACCTTGTCATACACTGAAACACAACCACATTATACACTGAAACACAACCTTGTCATACACTGAAACACAACCACATTATACACTGAAACACAACCATGTCATACACTGAAACACAACCACATTATACACTGAAACACAACCACATTATACACTGAAACACAACCTTGTCATACACTGAAACACAACCACATTATACACTGAAACACAACCTTGTCATACACTGAAACACAACCTTGTCATACACTGAAACACAACCTTGTCATACACTGAAACACAACCACATTATACACTGAAACACAACCACATTATACACTGAAACACAACCTTGTCATACACTGAAACACAACCACATTATACACTGAAACACAACCATGTCATACACTGAAACACAACCACATTATACACTGAAACACAACCATGTCATACACTGAAACACAACCACATTATACACTGAAACACAACCTTGTCATACACTGAAACACAACCACATTATACACTGAAACACAACCTTGTCATACACTGAAACACAACCACATTATACACTGAAACACAACCATGTCATACACTGAAACACAACCTTGTCATACACTGAAACACAACCACATTATACACTGAAACACAACCATGTCATACACTGAAACACAACCTTGTCATACACTGAAACACAACCACATTATACACTGAAACACAACCATGTCATACACTGAAACACAACCATGTCATACACTGAAACACAACCACATTATACACTGAAACACAACCTTGTCATACACTGAAACACAACCTTGTCATACACTGAAACACAACCTTGTCATACACTGAAACACAACCTTGTCATACACTGAAACACAACCACATTATACACTGAAACACAACCTTGTCATACACTGAAACACAACCACATTATACACTGAAACACAACCATGTCATACACTGAAACACAACCACATTATACACTGAAACACAACCATGTCATACACTGAAACACAACCACATTATACACTGAAACACAACCATGTCATACACTGAAACACAACCACATTATACACTGAAACACAACCACATTATACACTGAAACACAACCTTGTCATACACTGAAACACAACCACATTATACACTGAAACACAACCACATTATACACTGAAACACAACCTTGTCATACACTGAAACACAACCACATTATACACTGAAACACAACCATGTCATACACTGAAACACAACCACATTATACACTGAAACACAACCATGTCATACACTGAAACACAACCACATTATACACTGAAACACAACCTTGTCATACACTGAAACACAACCTTGTCATACACTGAAACACAACCATGTCATACACTGAAACACAACCACATTATACACTGAAACACAACCATGTCATACACTGAAACACAACCACATTATACACTGAAACACAACCATGTCATACACTGAAACACAACCACATTATACACTGAAACACGACCATGTCATACACTGAAACACAACCTTGTCATACACTGAAACACAACCATGTCATACACTGAAACACAACCATGTCATACACTGAAACACAACCACATTATACACTGAAACACAACCATGTCATACACTGAAACACAACCATGTCATACACTGAAACACAACCACATTATACACTGAAACACAACCTTGTCATACACTGAAACACAACCTTGTCATACACTGAAACACAACCATGTCATACACTGAAACACAACCACATTATACACTGAAACACGACCACATGACACACTGAAACACAACCAAGTGATACACTGAAACACAACCACGTGATCTACTGAAACACAATCACGTGATATACTGAAACACAATCACATGATACACTGAAACACAACCATGTGATGTGATGTTGGTGATGTGATGTGATGGTGGTGATGTGATGTGATTGAGTGAGTGAGTGAGAGAGTGAGTTGGGTTTAACAACGTTTTTAACAGTATTACAGTTATATCATGGCGTGTCAGCTTAATGTGGGAGGAAAGCTGAAGTAATGCAGGTCTCAGACGTTTACCACTTCGGTGAAACCCACGAGTACCGGTATGGTGCTGACAAACCTAGAAACATAATCAGGGTGAACTGGGATTCAAACCCACAATCATAGGTTTCTGGCATGCCCAAGGGACGCAACTCTGCACAGCGAACTGCGGCGCCTTATACAACGGGGCCACCAGTGTCCCCTGATGTGACGTGATGTGATGGTGGTGATGTGATGGTGGTGATGTGATGTGATGGTGGTGGTGTGATGTGATGTGATGGTGGTGGTGTGATGTGATGTGATGGTGTGATGTGATGTGATGGTGGTGATGTGATGGTGGTGGTGTGATGTGATGTGATGTGATGTGATGGTGGTGTGATGTGATGTGATGGTGGTGGTGTGATGTGATGGTGGTGATGTGATGTGATGTGATGTGATGGTGGTGGTGTGATGTGATGTGATGGTGGTGGTGTGATGTGATGTGATGGTGGTGTGATGTGATGGTGGTGGTGTGATGTGATGTGATGGTGGTGTGATGTGATGTGATGTGATGGTGGTGGTGTGATGTGATGGTGGTGATGTGATGTGATGTGATGTGATGGTGGTGGTGTGATGTGATGGTGGTGGTGTGATGTGGTGTGATGTGATGGTGGTGGTGTGATGTGATGTGATGGTGGTGGTGTGATGTGATGGTGGTGATGTGATGGTGGTGGTGTGATGTGATGTGATGTGATGTGATGTGATGTGGTGGTGTGATGTGATGTGATGTGATGTGATGTGATGGTGGTGGTGTGATGTGATGGTGGTGGTGTGATGTGATGTGATGGTGGTGTGATGTGATGGTGGTGGTGTGATGTGATGTGATGGTGGTGTGATGTGATGTGATGTGATGGTGGTGATGTGATGTGATGTGATGTGATGTGATGGTGGTGGTGTGATGTGATGGTGGTGGTGTGATGTGGTGTGATGTGATGGTGGTGGTGTGATGTGATGTGATGGTGGTGGTGTGATGTGATGGTGGTGATGTGATGTGATGGTGGTGGTGTGATGTGATGTGATGTGATGTGATGTGGTGGTGTGATGTGATGTGATGGTGGTGGTGTGATGTGATGTGATGTGATGGTGGTGGTGTGATGTGATGTGATGGTGGTGATGTGATGGTGGTGGTGTGATGTGATGTGATGGAGGTGGTGTGATGTGATGTGATGGTGGTGGTGTGATGTGATGTGATGTGATGGTGGTGGTGTGATGTGATGTGATGGTGGTGATGTGATGGTGGTGGTGTGATGTGATGTGATGTGATGTGATGTGATGGTGGTGGTGTGATGTGATGTGATGGTGGTGGTGTGATGTGATGTGATGGTGGTGGTGTGATGTGATGTGATGTGATGTGATGGTGGTGATGTGATGGTGGTGGTGTGATGTGATGTGATGGTGGTGATGTGATGGTGGTGGTGTGATGTGATGGTGGTGATGTGATGGTGGTGGTGTGATGTGATGTGATGGTGGTGGTGTGATGTGATGTGATGGTGTGGTGTGATGTGATGGTGGTGATGTGATGGTGGTGATGTGATGGTGGTGATGTGATGGTGGTGATGTGATGTAACGTGACGTGACGTGATGTGATGATAGTGAAGGTGATGATAAAACTAGTGTTTTGAATTTTTATGTACATATTCATGACAACGTTATTACATACTCACCACCGGGTATAAAACACAGCAGACCGATGATGAAAAAGACCAAACAGTGAAGACCTGTGAATAGAAAACACAGGAATTGTACCAGGATCTGCTGCCTGGGAGCTCTGGTAACACAAATGTACCAATCAGATCACCATCATCCTACGCTACATCATGTGTTATTGTTCTTTTGTCATTGGGATTCAAAATAATTGTATATGTTACTTTCAATTGGGGAGGGGAGGGATGGGGGAGGTTGCCCCATGAACCACCCCTTGTATGTTACAGCAGTCCGTAATCATCGTACCGATGAAGATCTGTGATAGCAACCCATGCTTGCTCAAAGAGGCGACTATGCTTGTCGTAAGAGGCGACTAAAGGGATCGGGTGGTCAGGCTCGCTGACTTGGTTGATGCATGTCATTATATCCCAATTGCACAGATCGATCTTATGATGTCAATCATTTGATTATTTACAGATCACCATCATATAGCTGGAATATTGCTGAGTGCGGCGTTAAAGAACAATGAAGGAACAAAACTGTAAGTCATTGAGCCAAGCAAGGTCAGACAAACATACATAATAGGAGCAAGGTTTTAACAGTGTTATATCTATGTTGCGGCATGTCAGCTTGATGTTGGGGTCGTAAACCACCTGCGAGCACAGGTATGGTGCTGACAATTCAAGAAATTTAATCTGAGCAAACTGGGATTTCGAACCCACAATCATAGGTTCCTGGCATGCACAAGGGATGCAACTCTGCACACTGTAAAGCAATACCAGAGACAGATACAACACAGCATGACTCACCTCTCTGTGGTGATGCCAAAATTCCAATGCCAACAAAAAACAATACTGAAAAAGATGGAGGAAATCATTGGAACTTGATCATGCTCATATTAACAAGTTCAAAATGGCATTACAAGTGCAGGCACCTCACATCAACAGGCCATTACAGGTGCAGAGAAATTTGACCAACAACTTTTTAATTTGCAGGATTTTCTTTTTCAGGTATTCATACTACTTAAAGTTTCAAAATTTATAAAGCTGGGTGCCGTTGTACAAAGCGATCTTAGCGCTAAGATGATCGTAACTGACATACCTTAACATAGACTTACAACAGTCGTAGCGCTAAGTTTGTTTTGTACAATGGTATCCTGATCGTTAAAGCATACGATACGTAATTTAAACAATATGGATAACCTCCTTGGTAAACAGTTATCGCAAGTTTTATTTGGGTGTGTCCTTACGCTATTCACCTCCTGGGTCCCGTTCCATAAAGCCATCTTTGGGCTAGGATGATCGTAACTCCCATACTTTAACATAGACTTACGACAATCGTAGCGCTACGATCGCTTTGTGGAACGGGACCCAGGTCCCACTTGCACAAAGCGATCTTAGCGCTAAGATGATCATAACTCCCATACTTCAACATAGGCTTACAATAGTCTTAGCGCTAAGATCGCTTTGTGCAAGTGAGCCCAGATGCATGTTAGTGACACATTGTCGAATGGGTTCGACAGCAGTGTTGTAAGCATAATAATACATGACAAGTTGAGCTATTGGAGGAGGTTGAACGTACCCAATCTTATTGCTAAATCCTAAATCCTTAGATTAAGCAAGACTGTTATCATCATAATCATACCAATCCTCACCTAAACCAATTGCGGTAAGAACGAACGAACCCAATACCACTCTCCAATTCTCTCGAACTTTCGGGTGCCTCAGCCAACTGAAAGAGAGCAACACATCTTCAAGCACATAATTGTCTTGATCAAGGTATTCCAGAACATTATTATCAATGTGTTGCTAAGGAACTGAAGAATGAGACTGTCCTGAAACAAGGAATTCAAGAGCACCATAATCTTGATCAAGACAATCTAGAATATTTTCACTATTGCAGCTTCTATAGCCAGTAAAGGTAGAAGTGTTGCTGTATATCATGATATCGATGTATCAGTAATTTTTTAATGTTCATGTAGTAGTGATACAAATTGTGAATATTGATACTAAATTAATAATTCACAGCCTAAGAAATGTTAAAATTTATTAAGTTAAAATTCATTGGTTAAGATCAGGGATGTGAGCAGTCCCGATAAAAAAAAGAGGAAAAGTCTAGGGGGGTAGTGTGTGTGTGTGTCTTTTATACATTTGATTGCATTTTAAACAATTTCGTGCAGTTTGGACAGCATTCACACCAAGAAATGCAATAAGTCAATGGCAAAAGTCAATAAGTCACAGTTGGAACCTATGGCCAATAGATCCTGGCATGCCCAAGGGATGCAACTCTGCAACTTTTCCCGTTATTTGTAAGTCTCACTGAAGTGAATGAAAGTGTTGTGTTCAGAGCTGTTTTGAACAGTATTTTAGTTATTTCATGGCGTGTTAGCTTCCTGTGAGAGGAAGTCATATTGCTGGAATATTGCTGAGTGTAGCAATTAACAACCAAAATAATAATAATAATAATGCTGCAAGGGGACTCCACAAACTGACACTTGTCTGAGACATTTGCCACTGTCAACACCCATGAGACCTGGTAGAATTTGAGAATGATAATCAGGTTGGGACCCTAATCAACAGATCCTGGCATGAATAAGGGACACAACTCTGCACAACACATAACAGCACCTTAAACAACCAGGTTACTCGTTACCCATTCCTCCAAGTTCGCCATTGCTCTTACAACAAAGTCTACCCTGGAACTTAGGGTTATAAGCAATAAACATAAACAATACCTGTCACTATCTGAAAATGACCGCACAACACATAACAGCACCTTAAACAACCACGTTACCCGTTCCTCCAAGTTCGCCATTGCTCTTACAACAAGCTTCACCCTGGAATTTAGGATTATAAACAATACACATAAACAATACCTGTCACTATCTGAGAATGACCGCGTGGACACAATGGTTTCACTTGACCACGTGGAGAGAGAATGGGTGGACACGCCCCCCGGCAAGAGTTCCCCTGGTCTGAAATGTACAACAAGTAGTGGATTACATTTAGTGATTATATGATCATGATGACTGAAGAGAACCTCTGCATTGTTCTTGCCAACAGCTCCTTGCATAAACATGATAAAACCTAATGCGGGATGCATAAAACCCCATGTACCCCTTGTGATCCTGCTACAACATATATCATAATATTTTCATAATTTTATTGACATTTGGAAGAACATTCTTCTCCATCAGAACCAATTATCAATTTCTAAGACATTTTATTTGACAATCAGTCAATTTCCAAGAAAATAACCCGATATGAACTCCTGTGTCTGGGACTAGGAAAATTCTGGAAGGACAAGTGGTGTTTCCTAGTGGGCAACCAATTGTACCATTAGGAAGATGGCAACTCTGTAACTGATTGTTTTTTAGCAATTACTGTATTTCCTCTATTAGACGCCCAGGCTTCTATTTATTTCGGACAAGCCTTTGACCCGGCGTCAAATAGGGGCCCGGCGTCTATTGGAGGCCCGGCTTCTATTAATACCCCCATTTCACTATGACCACGAATTTAGGTCCCAAAAAGGGATCATTAATTGTATCGACCCGGCGTCTATTAGAGGCCGGGCTTCTATTTTTTGCACTGAACAATTGACCCGGCTTCTATTAGAGGCTGGCATCTAATAGTGGAAATACGGTACTTATTAAACCTGCTGTGATCATGCTGATGTGAATACAATTTACCTGAAAGACTTTTTCTCAGTACTTCTTATTAGGGGATTTTGTTGTGCACGAAACTGAAAAGAAAAATTATGCATAAGTTATGCAGCTCTACAAATTAATTAGACTGCCTCCGTGGTCTAGTGGTAGAGCGTCTGCCTGGGCAATGGATGGTCGGGAGTTCGATCCCCGGCCACACCATACCAAGACGTTAAAAGATGGTACTTGTTGTTACCCTGTCTGGCGCTTGGCATTAAGGGGCTAAAACAAGGACTGGTCGGCTCGGAGTCAGTATACTGTGTCTGAGTGGGGTATTCATGTTCAAATGCGGCATGGCATCTCAGTGAGCTAGCACAATAATATATATATATGTATAAAATAATGTACGGCACCAATTTTCGAACTCAATCTTGACAAGTATCTCTTATATAAGCATGCAAACTTTCATTCATGTTATTTCAGTAGTTGCTCAGAAAACTTGTCCACAATTTCACACAGTATGCACAGTTGAAAAGCACAGAGCAAAGGCCATAAGAAAAATGTAAGTGTGTAAAATTTCATTTCTCTAATGTTTCTGTAGTTTTTGAAAAAAATTGTCCACAATGAGGATAGGACGGACGGACAAACTCTGTTCCTATAACCCCCACTTTGTGGTGGGGGAATACTATAGTAATTACTCAAGACACAAGAAATGCCAAATGCTAACCACAGATAGCTACATATTCTTGACACTCTCAGAGGCAGGGGTGAACGTTATTTAGTTATTTTGCATAGTCTTTGTCAGGCAATCTGAGTGATTCTAGCTCTAATTATACTTATAATGAAGTCATTAACTGAGCATCAAGTGAATGATGAAAAATACAGAGGTGTAGGGTTTATGCTATGAAACATCCATGACATTAAGGGAGTAGTAATTGTTGTATTATATGCAATTTTAACAATTTAAGATAACACTTTACTAGTAAAGTACAGATTGTAGTAGGGCTGGGACGGGTAACTCGGGTCGGATGGGTACTGAGTAGGACCCGGGTTCCCACAGGACTACCTGGACCCTTGGTTAGTCATGTGATATATTCATTTGACAAAATCGTCATAACTAACTATTGGTATTGTATGTAAATACGATTTTGAAGTGTAGATACCTGAAAATGTTGTAACGGAATTTCTGTGCCCTCTTCCTCTTTATTTTCTTCTAAGTCTCGAATTTTGGCCCCTTGTAAAGGCGCAGAAACTCTTGTTGAGCCATACAGCCTGACCTTATCTTCATCGTCCGAGTCGGCGGTTTCGCCTACATTCAACTTATCGTAGGGACTGCTAGCTGTCATTTTCTTCCATCATTCTTCCATCTTGTCAAAACTAACGAAGGGAGATAACTCCTATAACTGATTCCATAAAGATCAGTCGCTAGTGAAAAAAACATTTGTTATTGATTTGCCAGGAAACGATGCTGAATGACAGGCATCGTTGGGTTGAAATAAAGACCATCCAGATGTTTGTATTATGCAAGTAATTCAATACTATATGATTGTGTCCATTCATACCAGGTCACATCTGTTTAAAACACATTCTTTTATGTTGGATATTTTAATAACTAATTAAGTGGTGTAGGTTTGAAAACTGTGGATCATATCTTTGTTCGATATTAAAGTTGTTTTGGGTCGGGCCATAAATGCCAATTGTTACTGTTTAAAGTGCAGGGAGATAAATAGTTTACAGTAACATGTCAGAGAAGGCCCGTTTAAGGTGTTTGCAGTGGCTAGAAATTACATTTGAATGCCTTTAATAAATTATTATTTTAAGCAATTAAAAATTATCTCGTCTGATTTTTGATTTTTTCATTTACTTTTTGGGTGCATGTCTGGGTTATAGAGAAAATGTCCCCTAGCAAAACTGTCCCCAAACAAAATTTTCGGCGGTCTGTAAATAAACGAGTCTGGACCAGACAATCAAGTGATTGACATCATGAGCAACGATCCACGAAATTGGGATCGATGACATGCATCAGCCAAGACCACCCGATCCCGTTAGTCGCCTCTTACGACAAGCAAACTCGCCTTTTACGTCAAGCATGGCTATTCTAAACCGGATCTTCACGGGTCAGTGCAAAATAGCTTAACAATAAATAAAATAAATCACTACGGATTTGTGTTAATTTCGTTTCTTGAAAATTCGGGTCCGTTTTCTCCAATATGTGTGACCATTTTAACTAAGTTTGTGGCCATTTTCTCCTAATTGACTGGGACCATTTTCGCAAGGGGCCATTTTCTCCCGCACCCACATCTTGGAGTTCGGGAGCAGTCACTGTGCAGACGTTTCTATATTCATTTAGATCATTATCACATAGACAAATAAACCTCATATTAATAGGAACACATAAACAGCTATTATTTTACATCAGCCATTTTAAAGTACACATCTTATTTTGTCTCACAATGCCTAGTGCATGAGATGAAACTGTGAGTGTTCGCAAATATCTTTCCACGGTAATCGGAAACTTGGACTGCTGTTCAAACTAAAACGGAGCAGGTCGGAATTCAATATTATTGACGTAGAAAGAGCAATGCACGAAACCCCGAAAAGACCGCCCACAACGATCACTGCCACCAAGGTCACCGGAAAGTGGGATTGTTATTCAAACCGAAATAACCTGTGTATTAATGTATAAAGGATCTGTTTCAATTGCCGTCGACGCAGAGTGTCGTTGCTTGCATATATTTATGCAACATCGCAGTAAACGTGAAAAACTTTCCCAATCACTAGTAAAGTGAGTATAATAGTTTTATTTCACTTTTGCGAGTTTTCCAATCTTTCAACCCAATCTTAGGCGGATCCAGAGGAGGGTGGGTGGGGTGGGGTGGGGCGGTGTGTGTGTGTGTGTGTGTGTGTGTGGGGGGGGGGGGGGGGGGGGGGGGGGGTTTGTCGTAGTGGTTGTGATAAAGAAATGCAGTATGTTGTAGGCAGTAATATTATCTGAGATATGATTTTGTTATTTTGGTCCACTCCCTTTAAAAATGCTGGATCCGCCCTTGCAACTTATTATAAAACCGGGGCGGTCGGGGAGCCTACTGCTTAAAGCGTTCGGTCGTCACGCCGAAGACCCGGGTTCGAATTCCGACATAGGTACAATGTGTGAAGCCCATTTCTGGTGTCCCCCGCCGTGATATTGCTTGAATATTGCTAAAAGCGGCGTAAAACCAAACTAACTAATTATTATTCTGTGAATGCTGACTAAGCGCCGCTAAGCGCTTACTTAAGATGAACTTTTGAAACTCAAACATACAATAAACAAACAAAGATTTCTAGTTTCTTTTTCTCCTCGGTTTATATAAATAAATTAATGTCGCACTGGCAGCAGTGCAGCCATTTAACGACGAGAGCAACTGTAATATTTAAGGACAAGGGCATAGGGGTGGCCCAGTGGTTTAGCGCTCGCTCGTCACGCCGAATCCCCGGTTCGATTCCCCACGTGTGTACAATGTGTGAAGCCCATATTGCACGGCGGGGGACAACAGGAAAGGGCTTCACACATGATACCCATGTGAGGAATCGAACCCGGGTTTTTGACGTGACGAGCGAACGCTTTAACCACAAGGCTACCAAAACCCCCTTACTGGAAACGCGGATATTCAACATTGAAACAGACAATATATCAACAGGATGTGTTATCAGGGAAGTGTAAATCGCATGGCAGGAATGACGTCTGTCAACAATGATGGACAACAACATCACCACCGTCTGCAGAAACGTACGTAGATAACGACGCCCCCGGACGTTATTTAGTTGGACCGATTTGGCCGCCTCTTCATTCGTCACAACTCGCCCCTTCCGTAACCTGCAAGAAGACTCGTACCCCTATCGATAAATGTTATGTGAGAATATAACACAAACCAATCAGAATGCGCGTATGACGTCACGTACTTCGGTCAAAGAATCCCTCACAAATATTTGTGTTTTAAATAACATCTTGAATATATATGACTTTGGGGAAATATACGCGAATCATTACGCAACGAGTTGACAATTTGCACTTAGACGGGACCCAGTCGCAAAAACATGGCCACCAATGTTCAACTTTGACGCCTGAATGAAGTAACTTTGAAACGTGTCTGGTCAAATCCTTGGCAACAAACTCGTAACCTTTTATGTTCTGTACATAACCCACAGTGGAAGTTTGAGAAAGGTTATTACTTACACTGGTAATCTACATGATAAATTATTGGTCCAGTCTGGCTCCGGTTATGTAATAATGATTTGAAAAAAGTGACAAAGAGAACTATCCCCAAGTTACATCATTTTGAAAACACATTTTTATAGAAACAACAATAAATAAATATACCTCATCTTAAGAATGCATAGCCAGATTTATTATTAATCACATTTGTTTTGGGAATGGCATAATGAAACAAACCTAGGAATATGCATATGAGCACGTTTGTTACGAACAAGTGTAACTGCTCTCCACAATTCCCCATGTCAGAATAACCACGATAGACCGACGGCTTCCGTTGCCGGCCAATAACTAACATAACATGAACATGTTTAGTGTGATAACCTAGAGCTAGGAATGTTTTTAAAATATTTTCCTATTTATTTATGTATTTCAAATGTACGCATATCATTATACACAAGTGAGATTAATTTTACTTCTTCTCCCCTCCCTCTTCTTATCCTCCTCTTCTTCTCCCGTCCCTCTTCTCCTCTTTCTTCTTCCCCTCCTCCTCCCCTCCCTCTTCTCTTTCTTCTTCCCCTCCTCCCCCTCCCTCTTCTCCTCTTTCTTCTTCCCCTCCTCCTCCCCTCCCTCTTCTCCTCCTCTTTCTTCCTCCCCTCCTCCTCCCCTCCCTCTTCTCCTCCTCTTTCTTCTTCTCCTCCTCCTACCCCCTCTTCCTTCCTCCCGTCCCTCTTCTCCTCTTTCATTTCCTCCTCCACCTCCCCTCCCTCTTCTCCCCCTCCTCCCCTCCCTCTCCTCCTCCTCCTCCCCTCACTCTCCTCCTCTTTCTTCTTCCCCTCCTCCCCTCCCTCTTCTCTTTCTTCTTCCCCTCCTCCTCCCCTCCCTCTTCTCTTTCTTCTTCCCCTCCTCCCCTCCCTCTCCTCCTCTTTCTTGTTCTCCTCCTCCCCTCCCGCTTCTCCTCTTTCTTCCTCCCCTCCTCCCCCCTCCCTCTTCTCCTCTTTCTTCTCCTCCTCTTTCTTCTCCTCCCCCTTCTTCTTTACAACGATTACTCATTCCCATGCTCCATGTAATTTCCTCAAACCAATAAATAAGGCACGGGTCCTGGCGCCGTGCAATAATGTTCGTAGCGTCATGTTCCAACTCACTCACTTGTAATACAACCACAACGAAGCTAGGTACATACGTACCGAGTACTGACTGACCCTTCAGTAAACACCGACCTCTACTAAGTCCCAATGCACTGAAATAAAGAAAGGTCGTATGTTCTAGACACCGAGTACGAGTAAATATATGGAGAATATCGTCTCTGACCTCTATCCTGCTTAGATCTGACCCTTGCGAAATGTTTTCTATTTCAATCTAAATATCACATGACTTTACCCTTTACAGACAAGTGTTCCCATTGAAGCACTGGCCGATAAGACCCGTGAAGATCCGGGGTAGTATAGGTCTTCAGGACCTGTTGTTTTACCGTTTTTGGACATGTTTTAACCAATCGCCTGTCACAGTCTGTGACTTAGTCATGTTTCGTAATGTAGATAATCCATGCAATTTGTTCATTTTGTTTTTAAAAGAGCTAAAAATGTTTAGGGGAAATATATATCTCCTTTCGCTAAAGTTAACCGGTCTATAATTTGTAAGAATAAACTATTGCGCATTGAGCGATTATCTCCTTTAGCTATAGGCGTAGTATAGAGCTTTATCACGCACTGACCTTGCTATGTTGTACATCGTATCTTATTCAAGCTGTATCACTGCGAGTGAGTGATTAAATATCAGGCTTCTATAAAGTATACTTTAAATTGTTGGATAGGCATTACTAAAACTGTGTCTACTAAGTATGACTTTGTTCAATAAACAACACATGTAAAACAACGGGTTTGATGTGAGAAATTTGTAATTGTCTTCATAATCACATGTATGGTGCTTGCTGTGCATAGTTGAGCACAGTGTGGTTTCAAGTAGTTCACTGTATGTAATGTATGATTCATACCGTTTCATGCGGCGGTTAACGGTTCTGTATGGTTTACTGCTTTGACAAGTTTTTTTAACTTCCGGCAGAGATTATACACCTACTTCTGTATGGTTGGTCTGCAGGTTGGTCTGTGGTTTGCAATTACTTTCTTTTAAAATAATACGGTTGCATGATATATTCACGATGTTTGGGTTGAACATAGTAACATTCTTCTGAACATTCGTGACCAACTCGTGTTATTCCGGGACAGGCCGAATAGCGACTCGTGTCCTTCTCATGGCCATTTTTGCAACCGGGTACCGTCTTAGCGCAAACGGGCAAACCTTAAACAATTGTCAACTCGTTGCGTAATGGTTCACATTTATTTCCACGTATATTTTATATTTCACATGCAATTTAAAGCACATCGCGACGTGCGGAACTATGCAGTATGATTGAACACATTTAACTGTGTCTTGGGTATATTTAGATGCAAGACATATGTCAAATCAAAAATTATTTCTGTGGGATTCTTTGACGAAGAACTTGAAATCATACGCGCATTCTGATTGGTTTGTCGTATTTTCACATTCATCGATAGGGGGACGAGTCTTCCTGCAGGTTACGGAAAGGAGCGAGTGGTGACGAATGTCTTCTGAACATACTTCAAATCTAAACCGGAAGTAATCACAACACAAACCCAGTTAACCAAACGGAGCCATACACAAGAATGAGTGCGGGAGTTGGGTTTAACGCCGCTTTGAATAGTATTCGTGTCAGCTTGGTTTGGGAGGAAAATCCGAAGTGATGCAGGTCTTAGACGTTTACCACTTTGGTGAAACCCACAAGCAAGGGTATAGTGCTGACAACATAATCGGGTCGAACCGGGATTCAAAACACTGTCATAGGTTTCTGACGTGCCCAAGGGACACAACTCTGCATATAGAATTGCGATTTAGGCGATTGGGCCAACCAATCCCCCGTACACAACTATAAGAAATTATCATACAACAAAGATGTTTTCGATGAGATATGTATTGCGTAACATCCCATGAAGAAACAGTGGCAATATTACACTATCACAAACTGCAAAATATATACACAATAAGCGCAAGTAAAACACACAGGTGCATTCAACCTACAAAGGAGGTACATTGTAACAATTTTATTATAAAACAAGTGTATTATAATGATATTGAAACAATATGAGAATTGAGCAAAACTATGGTAATGTTGTATAAACAAGGAATTTGTTGATAATTGTAGATATATATGATAACAGATCTTGGAAGTTATTTCTGGATTTGAGTTGGTAAAATTATTAAGAACTGTCTCATTAACAGAGTGTATCAAATTCCTTATCATAATTGAGGATTATTTGTGATTCTCTTTCTTGGTTGTGTTTTATACAAGACTGTACATAATGTTTTTTTCTGAGACATCACATGTTTCACAGAGACCTTGCTCAACGGGGTTGATGTTTTTGTATATCTACCAGTTTCACTTATTAGTTTATGATTACTTAACGAAGTTTTGAGAAATGAGACATATGAGCTTTGCTTTTACAATATGTAAGATAATTCTCAATATTTACAGACGACTTGACCAACCTGTATGTTCTTAACTTGCTGCTAGATAAATGGGAATTCTTTAATGAATGCGTGAACATATTTTTACAATTGGACTGAAGTCAATTTGCAGTGGATTCATTACATTTATTTGTTTTTACTATTTCAACAGTTTGTTATATTTAACTCCGCCAACATTGTGACCAGAAATATTGATATTTGCTGCCAAATCGTGTTCAAGAATGACATTTGTTGTGTTATCTATATAGGACTTGTAATCAATTACTTTACATATTACTAGTACTAATAGTTGGTGTTTACCAAGTTCTGCCTAACAGGCCCAGTTATAGGTTTTCTTGCCTTGGATTTCCATGTGCGTTGGTCAATTTAAAGACACCGTTTCTTCTATTGTGCTTTCGAAAGATAACTATATTAATAACAACCAGTTTGTACTTTACGCAAATCCTCTCCTCCCATAGCTTACACTTCCTTCCTCTGCATAGTGGATTCCACTTGCATAGGTGACTGGGCTCAGTTCTTATTCGGGGAATTCCCTTTTCTAGGAAAAGAGGCGGGGCGCTGGAGCCTGTGACATATTCCGGATGTCTGACCTGCCAAGTACACACTAAACTGCACGTTATATTGCAATATTGTAGTTCATGCAACTTTGTCTTGAAACAGACAAAATATGTGAGCAGGATGCAGGTCAGGCGCCTGTAGCAGGGCAGTAAACCGGATCTAGAAGCACTTATGCATTCAGGATTTACTTCTTGCATCGCACTTAGCAACTTTCCAAAATACAAACAGTATTTCGTAAGAAACGTATGAACATAATTGTAGTTCATACATGTTTGTCTTCGGTCGTCATCATCATCATCATCATCATCATCATCATCATCATCATCATCATCATCCTAACCATCATCTTGGCCACCATCACATCACACCACCATCATCACATCACACCACCACCATCACATCACACCACCACCATCACATCACACCACCATCATCACATCACACCACCACCACATCACATCACACCACCACCATCACATCACACCACCACCATCACATCACACCACCACCACCATCACATCACACCACCACCATCACATCACACCACCACATCACATCACACCACCACCATCACATCACACCACCACCATCACATCACACCACCACCATCACATCACACCACCACCACCATCACATCACACCACCACCATCACATCACACCACCACATCACATCACACCACCACCATCACATCACATCACACCACCACCACCACCATCACATCACATCACATCACATCACACCACCATCACATCACATCACACCACCACCATCACATCACATCACATCATCACATCATCACATCACATCACACCACCATCACACCACCACCATCACATCACACCACCACCATCACATCACACCACCACCATCACATCACACCACTACCATCACATCACATCACCACCATCACATCACACCACCACCATCACATCACATCACACCATCACATCACATCACACCACCATCACATCACACCACCACCATCACATCACATCACACCACCATCATCACATCACACCACCACCATCACATCACACCACCACCATCACATCACACCACCACCATCACATCACACCACCACCATCACATCACACCACCACCATAACATCACATCACACCACCATCATCACATCACACCACCATCATCACATCACACCACCACCATCACATCACATCACCACCATCACATCACACCACCACCATCACATCACACCACCACCATCACATCACATCACACCACCACCATCACATCACATCACACCACCACCACCATCACATCACACCACCACCATCACATCACACCATCACATCACACCACCACCATCACATCACATCACACCACCACCACCATCACATCACACCACCACCATCACATCACACCACCACATCACATCACACCACCACCATCATCACCACCATCACATCACATCACACCACCACCATCACATCACACCACCACCATCACATCACACCACCACCATCACATCACACCACCACCATCACATCACACCACCACCATAACATCACATCACACCACCATCATCACATCACACCACCATCATCACATCACACCACCACCATCACATCACATCACCACCATCACATCACACCACCACCATCACATCACACCACCACCATCACATCACATCACACCACCACCACCACATCACACCACCACCATCACATCACACCACCACCACCATCACATCACACCACCACCATCACATCACATCACACCACCACCATCACATCACACCACCACCATCATCACCACCATCACATCACACCACCACCATCACATCACATCACACCACCACCATCACATCACACCACCATCACATCACATCACATCACACCACCACCATCATCACCACCATCACATCACACCACCACCATCATCACCACCATCACATCACACCACCACCATCACATCACACCACCACCATCACATCACATCACACCACCACCACCACATCACACCACCACCATCACATCACACCACCGCCACCATCACATCACACCACCACCATCACATCACATCACACCACCACCATCACATCACACCACCACCATCATCACCACCATCACATCACATCACACCACCACCATCACATCACACCACCACCATCACATCACACCACCACCATCACATCACACCACCACCATCACATCACACCACCACCATCACATCACACTACCACCATCACATCACATCACACCACCACCATCACATCACATCACACCACCACCATCACATCACACCACCACCATCACATCACACCACCACCATCACATCACATCACACCACCATCATCACATCACATCACTATCATTACCGTCCCCATCACCTTTTTAAAGTCTGAGACTCAAAATTCCTAGACACCTTAGCCCGAGGTACAGCAATACTGGACAAGTTGTTTG